AATGAGCTGATTTTCTAATTGTGTAAGCCATGCATCATTTCGTCGTGGAGCGACAAGTTCGGAAAGAATCTCGTTGAAAGAATCACCGCGGGCCGTGATAAATGTTAATTCGCTCTCGGCTTCTTGCCGCAGCTAATGCACGAACGTATAGCCAGGCCGACGGATCCAAATAGGGAGATAGATTTGGGTGAGAATCGAGATTTGAGTAGCGGCAACAGCTGGCTGAGCTCTCGATAGAACTAGGGCCAAATGCATGTATACAAATTATCTGTGCCAGCGGCCAATAAAGTCCTCGGTGATCGATAATTTCTTAAATGACAAAAGGCCGAGGGGTATAAAGAAAAAAAAAAAAAAAAGAAAATTGGTAAAAATAGTAAGTGATGGATCGAATCGATGGTCGAGCTGCAGGGATCGAGCGAAATTATAAAGGTACGAGGGACTCGCGTTGGGCTCGGCAGAAAAAGAGACGGGCGCGGGAGGAGACGAAGGAAAGACGGAGGAAATTGGGAGGATCGGCAGGGAATCGGTAGGTCTCTGGGCGCAGTCTCTGCTCGCTGCGGTGGCTCGGCCGATGGACGTTGGTCGGCGCGCGGTCTAAAAGCGTCGCTGCGAGTTGGCTGCGGCGTCGTCGCCCCGGGCCAAAACGGCGCCGAGTCAACAGCTGGTCTCGCGCTGTGTGCGTACTCGCTACGTACGTGTGCGCGCTATAGTTGGCCACGGTGCGTGCGTTACGGCGTCGCGGCTACGCAGCGCAGCTTCGCCCGCTTTAGTCGGCCGAGATCGGTGCCGCAGCGAGTATCGCGTAAGTACGTATACGATAGACCATCTCCTCTACACAGGCCACATACATATAAATACACTCGAACGGCTGTAAAGCAGACACGCAGCCACGCACACATTTGGGAACGGGCGACGTTGGCTTCCCGAGACTGCTCCGTATACGCGCGGTGACCAGTGATTAGTTTTGGTTTCTCCGTCGAGGCAGGCCCCCCGTAGCCACCTCCGCACGCCCTCGGCGCGCTTCAAGGACAGTGGCGGTGCTTGCAGCTGTCAGTGCGCGATAGCCCCCGACTCTCGTTCATTTTTCTACTCGTTGTTTCCCATCGTCCTCCGTATCGTTATTTGTAAGTATTACAAACGGGGCTTTTTGGCCAGCGAGTAGTCGTTATGTAAGTCGCGCTCGAGCCTCGTTTTTCTGCAATGCCAATCGCATTCGAGGAAATTTACCTCGCTGTGCTTTTGTTCGCGCGTACGCTCGCGTATTTCGGTGGCTCGCCTTGACAAGTCCACTGAGAAAATTTCCTAAAATCGCGCCGTTATTTGTCTCGTCTGTCCGAGAAGGAGAGAATATTGTCTCTCCCTCGCGTGCACCAAGGCCGTGCGTGCAAGCTATGAAGCTTATACATATTAATTCGTCTGTGAGTACGAGTAAAAATAGCCTAGATTCAAGTTCATGCGAAATTCCGAGGAGCTGCTAGTGACGCTGGTATGGTTATAGTGGGTATATAAGTGGCGGTTGCAGTGCTGGTGCTGGTGCTGGTGACGCTGCTGGCGCAAACTACTCGTGTTGTAGATGCGATCTTGAGGTTGATTTATCCGGTGAGTGACCCTGCGGTGACCTTGCAACGATTGACACGACTGCCCTTAGCTGCTCTATCCACGCGTCTCTCTGCATTTACACCCTTTTATCGGTGTATAGGCTCGTAAACGCGTCAGCTTTTATTCGTTTGCATTTATTTATTTCTATTTTTCTTTGTTTACCTATTATTTGTTTATCAGTAATAACAAAACATACTCTGGCCTGAACTCTAAAACGAGAAATGTCAAGTTTAAAGAAGAACAAAGTTATAATCCTACAGCTTCGTACATGCAAAACAACGTGGTGATCTTCAATTTGCTTATTTATATTAGCTACACGCAATATATTAATTTTTAGAAAGTTACAAATGAAAGTAATAGAACCTTTTGTTTATTTATTTTTAACTGTCACGTAGAAATTTTATGTGTTTCGACGTGTCAAATAAATCGGTGCATATCAACCTCCCATGGAGCTTTTTTCCCTTATTTCTTCTTTTTTTTTAGCTGTAAAAATAAATTATATTCACGAGTACACGGTGTGCGCGTGTCTATAAGTATTAGTACGTATACGTGTACTTGTTGAATTAACGGCAGTCACGAAGAGAGATAAAAGGAGAGAAAGCATTTCTCGTTGTAATTTGTCTGTGTACGTGGTTCATTCTCCAGAAACTTCGCTATTTGAGAATTGGTAAAAAAACTGAAAAATCCATTTCATTTTCTGGGTATCCATCTTAACCTTTAGCAGTTTTTTACGTCGCCAGAACAGGTACTAGCTATTAATTAGGAGAATCATTTGAGACACACGAATAAGCGCATGCACGATATCGTCGGTGAATTTTCGAACGCATCGAGGCGCGCGCGCCACCCGACAACGCTCCAATCGTGCCTCTCCACATACTCGTTGCGAATGGCCGTTAACGCGCGACTCAGTCTTCCTCGCGGCCGATGCGCGACTTTACCAATCTTTCGACAGGCCGTCTTTTGACATCGTCGGAACATTTTTAATTTTTAACATCAACATTAGGTAAATTTTGTGGGGCCGCAGAGATCTCGATCGTCGGCGAGCTTTCGACGACGGCGATGCAGTCGACAGGCGACAAACCAAGTTTAAATGTCCTCGCTTTGGGCGAAAATCAGCTGGCCAAGTAGAGTCTGGCGCAGATGTCGCCAGCGCTCGGTTTGCTCGGCTGGCAAATAATTCCCCGTTGGCCGTTAGGCTTTGCGTCGCGCTGCTGCTGGCCGCTGCTGCGGTATCATCGTATACGCGACGATCTGCTCTCTGCTGGCTGCCCGTGAGCTCGTAGTACAGTCGTCAGTCCGCGTGCATGCAGCCAAACTGCAGCTGCTAGTCGACTCTAACCAGTCATCATACACATAAAAATAGACACTCGCACACTCACACGCACGTCGACGCACGTATTTATACTTAGGGACATTTAACACGTACACTCGCATAGTTTACTCGTAGAAACAGTGATAAAAGTAAGTAAAACACGATTGTCTTGAATTCAATAGTGACGAGTACAAGTTTTTCGTGCCAAAGTCTGTGTGCCTCGCTCTTGTATCGCCGCCTTAGTGTATGTGTGTCGCGCATCTGTTCTCACGTATTTTCCTTCTCGCTTATCCGCCTAGAGCTGGAGCGAGAAATTTTGCAAAGTTTCGCGTTTTCTGCGCGAGACCAGTGCGCGTCGTCGCGTTGCTCGCCTTTCAGTTTTGCCAATTTGCGGAAAACGCAGGATCGTCGACTCGCTCGACACCGATAACGACCACGACGAATGATCCGCTGACAGCAGCATAAGAAATATTCTCCAAAATTAATAAATTCGAGATCGGTGCTTTTCGCACGAGGCCCTGTGATTCTCGGGGCACAGTTGTCGTCGTCATCGAAACGCACACGTCGACAACAGCTTGCGAGACTTTTCAAGCTCGTCCTTCAGCTCCTGTCGACTGAATCGCTTGTCACTTGGGGCTTGCCACCCCAAAGGCACGAGCGAGGACTCGAGAGCTCGACGCGCAATCCCTCCCGGTCGATTGACTATAAATGCATTGTTATTATAACCTCCAAAAGTACACAAACCAGCAGTATACGACGCGGGACGCCGCCGCCGCTGCTGCTGCTGCTGCTGCTGCTGCTGCTAGCTATACCAGTAGTGCTAATATTATAATATACTCGAAAGAGAAGAGTCTGCTGGGCGACGTGGTATATCAATATACACACGCCACGTCGATTACAAAACACATAGACACACGTAGGCTGAGCTCCTCAAAGGGATTCCGCGTGGCTTTTCTCTTCTTGTTTCTCCAGTTTTGCAATTACACTTTTGACGAGTCACTGCTTCTACATAGGTACTGAACTCGCCACGAATTGTCATTGGATATTAATGTGTGTGCGGTCTTCTCGCTACTTTAATACTTTCTAATAGTATTTTTCCTCCTCACGGTCGTGCTCTGCGATCATACTCGTTGTACAGATAAACTGTCATCATCGGGAATCCAAAAAAAAGCCCGGCCAGCTTTTGACCATGTTGCAGCTTTCGTGTGGGCAACTCGTGCTCTCGGGCCCGCGCAGTTGATAAGTCATCGGTGGCTGCGCAGCGATCCCGTGCAGTACGTTCCAAGCATACGTGTACACAGTTTCCTTGCAAAGTGCTGAGTAATATATTTGTCGAAGATGTCATGATCGCTTTGTGTTCTACGCACTACTTTTTACAACGTCGCTCTCTCTCTCTCTCTCTCTCTCTCTCTCTCTCTCTATCCGCGTGCGTCTGTGTATGCATTCGGTACGTCTATATGCATGCTATACGTGATTTGTGTATCGCAACAATGAGCTATAGTATTATTGTTTGCTCGTATGACTACTCGTACCGAGTTCAATTGCGTATTCCAAAGTTGTTACGACGCGAATAGCACACGTGTCTCGGCGAATCTCGTGCAGCCACCGAGGTACTCGAGTACTCCGAGTCGGACGAGACAATTGTGGAACATAGCGGCCGTTGACTCCGATTGTCGTATTCTTTTCCCTCTGTAACACATCTGACACTTTTCATTCAGTTGTATGGAGCAATCGAAAAACCAGTCGTCGCTGGCGAGTTTAAATCTCATACCTATAGCGTGTATCTTATCGTTTATTTGGCTCAATGTAAACACACATGCTCGATTTATTGTAAAATGTATGTGGAATCTTTGCGTTGAGCTATCTTAACGAGAAAAAGGTCAGGTCAGGATAGGTTTTCAGATAGTCACTCTTGCTCACACAAATGATTTTCTTCACTGAATTCTTTATACAACGATAATTGTTATCCTTTATTTAGTTCATTTTCCAAATGCTTCTATAACTAATTTTGTTCATCATTCTTATTACAGAAACCAATTGGGTGAATGAACGATTCTAGTGATTAGCAAGTTTTAGAGCAAAAGCAATCATGGAGGACGCTCACTGCAAGACAGTAGACGAAGTAGTTAACCATTTCAATGTTAATTTAGATAATGGTCTTTCACCAGATCAAGTCAAAAGAAATCAAGAAAAATATGGTCTCAATGGTAAGTACTCAAGAATTGATGATTCTTTATTCTTATTAATTCTGTAATAAACCTATGATTCAATGTATACAAAAGTAATTCCAACTTAATATAAATTTCTAACTTTTGTTACAGTATTTTTTCTTTAATATTATATATTGTTGACATTGAAATTATTACCGTAAAGTTATAAAAAAACTGTGCTACTTTCTCAAGCAGTAAATAATGAAGTACTCCCTTCAATGTCTCATCTCGCTTAAAAAAAAAAAGCTATAAAGTGTAAAAATAGCATTACTGTATCTATTTTTAATTTGAGCTGTACTTTGATTTTACTTCTAGAAATTAATACAATTTTTAATTGTTTTATAAGTTTTAAGGATGGAAGATTAATTTTTAATTTTTTTAAATATTTTAAATTTCGATGCGTACCATCAGAGTCTGGATAATGGAATTTTAGTTTTGTATCCAGTCATTAAAGAACGTAAATTTTTACACAACTTGTGTGAGAAATAAATTATCGTGCGTAGCTTTAAAGTTTACCATATAAATGATATATTTTTTAGATTATTATAATATCTGAAAATCTAGACAATTATCGAACATAATAAGCAGTTATCAATTGTCAATTAGTCAAAAATCGGAACCGATAGCTGCGTCATGGATTTTGTAATGTCTGTAATAATTTTTTATTTATCACCCGTTTATCGCGTCGCGTCATTATGAAAATGTCATTTGCTCCATATGGTTTTATAGTTTTAAAATAAAATATAAAACAGGTTTTGGAATAAGCTTTTATCAATGTGTCAATACAGGTTGCACGAGAATAAAAGGTCATATTTACAAGAGCATGAACTATAATGCTATCTTTAATTATCGTAGAAAAACTATTCGGAAACGTAATGACGTCAGAGTCGAAATCTAGCTCGGTGATAATAAAAATATACTCTGTTCAATACGCTCTGTATAAGATGAGAAAAATAATGGCTTGAATTTCTTTTATGTTAAAGATGACAAAGAATTAGTTTCATTCATTGAGTTTCGTGCAAAAGAAAAATTAAATAGTCACTTTTATTCAACGCAAAAAATCGTTTTTTAAAACACTTTTCGATGATTTATTTACTGCAGTGTCCACACGCGATGTACATGAAAAATCTAGACATGGAGCAACAATTATAGACAGCAAAAAAGAAAATCGAATTTACAAATGCGAGATAAGAGCAAACGAAGCGTCAATCAATATATTGTGTCGATGCGACAATGACGAGTCTGTGACGCTCGACAAGCGTCAATAAAACTCGAATTTGATCGCGCGGTGAAATGTGCATACGTACGAGCTTTTCGCGTGTTCATGAGCATCTTGATAACATCATCGCGCATCGTGTACGTTTCCATAAAATTCGACGAGACGAAGCTATTTTTTACGCTAAATTTGGTTAACCTCACAATAGAGCGTAAAGTCTCTGGAATTCCATAGAAAGGCGTCGAATAAATAGAAGTTAGTTGAGCCTTTTTTCAAATCGAAGACAGACGAGATTGTACTATAATATATAGTGACGTCGTGAACTAGAATACGAGATGCAGTAGCCAAGAGCTGGAACTGCAAGACTTACGCAGCTGATCGGTCCCGCGTCGAACACGTGGCCAGTCCCCATTGCATCAAAGCCGACTCGTGTTAATATGTATTCGATGACGTTTTGATCGGGACGATTTTTTTATCTCGCTCTCTCTCTCTTTTTTTGACGCGATCAATTTCGATTTTTGAACATTTTGAATAAATTCGCCAATCTACCACTAATCATTTATACAATGTACTGAAGATTAACGCAATCGATCTTTGGTAAACAAAGTCGATCAGAACGACAAATTGTTGTGCGTAGACAAAACTCAATATACGATCGTCAACAGAAGCCAATCGTGGAAAGACTAGACTAATGGACATTCGACACCGAATTTTCATCAGCGAATCATAATTGTTGCAGGAACTGTGCCCGAGGCCTGCGCGCAATTGCTTCGATCTCGCGAAGTATTCTTACCTAGCTTTCGAGAGTTTAGAACGTTAAATCCGTGAATACACTAATGAGCTAGAAAGAGAAAAAGAAGAAAAAGTGAGAGATAGAGAGAGAGAGAGAGACAGACAGACGAGGGCAACGGCGGCTATGACGTTAATCGTTGACGCGCGTCACAGCTCCTCACGCGCGCGCACACATATACACATTACACTTTGCATAGCGCCAGCATTAGCGGCAATGCGTTGCGCAATTTTCGAGCGCAACTTACATACATACTTACATACAAGAAGAAAAAGACAAAAAAGCGAGTAGGCATACTCAATTTTCGCCTGGCAATGGCCTCTGCGCGCACAAGCTCATTTTTCTGCAAGCTATCGTTATCGTGCGAGACTGAGCTGGACTCAAAGTTGAAGACGATTTCGACAAAGTCGAGTTAATTTCGATGACAATTATTTATAGAATAGATGGCTGAATATTAGCCCCCGCGTCCGAGTAAGAAGCGCGAGCTTTTCTACTCTATTATTGCGCTCCAAGTTGTCTTGAATCTAAATCGAGTACGCGATTAATTCTTCTAGCGATTTATCTCGTGAGAGAAGCAGTGCCATGTGCCCGTGACTGTTCAGTGCGATCTTATGTTACTCTAAAACTAGCGAAAGTTAGATAGCACTAGCATGTCTGAAACCTGGATACATCTCTCTCCGTTGCAATCAAACGTAACAAAATATGAAATCGTTGACCTCGTCTAGCAATACTTTACTGCTATATACTGCGCAAACAGACGTATACAGTATACACTTGTTTGTATTGTAGTGCGTTACAAGTTCGATTATTGTTACGTATCATCAGTACAGTGTGCGTGTTTTTATATAAAAAATCGTTGACTCGCAACAATAGAGTGCTTATTGAAAAAAAAAATGGAACGTTACGAATTTTAACAGTCGCGCTTTGCATCGTTTATTACTCATACCCAGGTATGCAACTCATCATACAGGAAAATTTTCTGATAATCGATACAGAATCAGCTCAACGCCTGCCACAAGTTCATAAACAAGTTTCAAGCCCGCGTCTGCTTAGCGAGCTGTACCATTTTTCATTGCCGAAATAAACCAGCATCGCAAACTGTGCGACAATTGTCTCGTGGTACACTGACGGCAAAAGATTCGAACGTATCGACTTTCGCGCACTGAGTATGTGTAGGTCCGTGTGCACATGCAAGTGCATCGCGTTTATAGCAATACGGTACCGTCCTTGTATTCTTCATCGTCGCGTGAACATTTTTTGCTAGTGTCTCTCGCCAAGCATCGTTGCTAATTTTTCTTCTCCTTTTATTTTTTTGTAACGTAATAAAATCTCTCATTGTGTTCTACATATTATTCTATGTACAGGTCTAGGTACTATATGTATAAGTGCGCTTATGGCTCTGCGCGAATGTAAAAGTGTGCAAATGCTGCTATTCTCGCTCGGAAGCCCATTATATTCTACGCGCTATGACCATAATCTATTATTATAAACGCGAACATGTATAAAAGATGTTGTACGTACATGACCGTGTGTACGTATGTGACTGAGTATATGTATTGATCGACTGGCTCACGTCTAACCATGAGTTTTTATAAAATAAATTTCTACGTCACTCGGCTTGTTTTGCTTATTACATTATGTTTTCGCTGGTACACGTATTACTTTTCATTAGAAATTGTAATCGCTGAGTTGTTGAGATTTGACAATTTTACAAAAATTTATATAAATTACCCCAAAAGTATGTTGTTTTTATCTAAAGCAATTTTATAAAACAAAAATAAGAATAATAAATACTTTTTCGGAGATTGTATTTGCCTGTAACCTTCAAAAGAAAAATACATGCCACACCCTGTACAACTCGATTGGCAAATTGAGAGGATCATCGTTTATTCACGCTTAGGCGTTTTGCTCATTCGTTTCGTTTCGTTTCTCTCGGATTTTTCACGTTTCGAAGGCTTAATAAGCATAAGATTACAATAACTTTTATAGCCATTATAGTTATCTGTTTTTTTTTTTCATACAAAGTTTTTAACTTGTTGTAATGACCTAATCGCGCCCACGGTGGCGTTTTTTTCAAAGTCTCAACTATTTAAAAAATATCAGTTTGTGTAAACGAAAAAACGGTTGTTAATCAATAATCTGGTAATATGCCAGAAGAACAAATTATTTCTCCCTCCCTCTCTCTCTCTCTCTTTTTTTATTCGTCAGCCTTTTAAGCCATTTCCGTCGAAATTTTATGATAACAGCGTCAGATTACCAAAGTGACTTTTTTTCCTATTTATCTCGTCGATATCGGTCAGTTAACTGAAGATAAAACAACACACCAGTAATGAATCAAAAATTAACTCTTTGCTTCAGACTTGTTGTGTTATATATTGTATGAAGAAAAAACGCTAAATAGTTGGACGTCATATTTTCTTTACTTTTTAATTAACTTGTACTAATCGAAAGCTTCAGTAATCGATATCCGCACGAGCAGTTGGTCAGTCGATGAAACAAATTACTTCCCTGCGAGCTTAGTTTCATGCAACGTGGCGAGTGAGCGACTATTTAATTTTATCTTTTTTTCGGGGTTTTTCGGTGAAACGCGCGCGCTCTGATGCCGAACAGCTGTTCATCAGCAAAATAAAGTGTACGTGTGCGAATACTGTGCGCGCAAATCAAGAACGCGCTCCCGCAGTTTGCACAGTCTCTTACGTGGTTATCTAATTTAGCTTCACAAAAATAAATTATCTCGGACTTCAAAAATAGGTCGGAAAATGCCTCTAGCTACATGTTTTTATTGCTAAATATTCAAGTCAGAGAATTCATCTGTATGTCTCTTATGGATAGTATACATGTATGACTACATTATTTACCTATCGCATAGCGCAATTCAATTACCCTCTTGCTCTATGAAGTATTCCATTGATGTTTGCTGTTTCGAGCTGGACAGCTTTTTAATATTTAAGCAGGGGAGTAAATGTACAGCCAAGTTGAAAAGAGATGTGCACGACGACAAGCGTATCGTTGTGAGCGTGAAATTTTATCAATTTTGTAAGCAAAGCTCGTAGGAAAGCGAGCCTCGAAACTGTGACTGCGAAAGATGCAATTCGTGTCACGTGACCATTGTATACGTAGCAGTATAGATACGCAGCACGAGGCTAGTTTCAAGCTGTATATAATGCAACACGTCTTAGCTAAGCCTATTTTCGTTTTATCCCTGCGGGCTCTCTCCCTCTCTTTCACTCTACGTATATGTATTACACCGCGAGATATATAATTATTATAATGGATCATCTTTAAAGCTTAGCACGAGCTTCATAACTCTCAGGATATCCCGAGAGTTTTAAATTTCTTGTACGTGTGCCGCAAAGAGAATTGCAATGTCAACGTTCATATATAATTTCGTAAAACTTAATTTATTTTAATATTATCAACTGTGTCAGAAAAATTTAATATCTAATAGTAAAACGTTGAATCATATGGTAAATTGTAATAAATAATAAATAGTTAAATAATGTTATGAAATTTAAATTAATGACTCAATTTTTTAATTTTTCAGAACTACCAGCCGAGGAGGGTGAGTACTAAGAGAAATTTACTAGACATTTTTTGTGTATCATTAGTTTAGATGCAAAAAAATTCCAGGAGTAAATCCTCATTATTCATTGACTTGAACGCAGTGACCAAATCCTTGCGCTCGCGCAACGTTCGTTACGCCTTGTCAGTTTCGGAGCATTAACTCGGATGCACTTAGAATACACATATAAACACCTATTCACACAGACGCGAGTTGCAGCTATTACCGGTCACGCGAGGCGGCTTTTCTTCTTCTCTGTCACTTTTGCATTGTAGTAGATTACGCAGCTCGTAATAAATCGAAGTATTGAGCTTTGAAATGACACCTTGATCGATTTACTTTTTTCAAAAAAGTTTAGGAGCTTACGGTTTCTTTTCTAACCACAAAGTAACAAATATTATGCATCGACGCGTAATCGTCCGATAGACTTATATGCAAATAAAGACAAAAGACAATCGTCTGGTTCATATATTTATGTATATAACATTTATACTTACTCACTGGCACATGCTTTGTGGAAAACGCCGATAAGACGCGGTAATTGCGTTAAAGCAATGCAATGCGCGCTATAGTGTATAGACTGCGCGCATACGCGCGCGTATTATCTGTCATATACACTCGCACAAGTTCATATGTAGAGACACGTAAGGCTTCGACGTTTTGTTTTCAACGGCAGTAACTTTTTTTTTTTTTTTTTTATACTTTTCTACTTGTGCTTTTTCATAGACTGTGTTGGAACTTTCGTTATCGTTGAAAAAAAAGTTTTCATTTCCGCGTCTACACCACTCTATCTGACACTTGTATGTTACAAATAAAAGCAGACTCGAAGGTGTTTTTAGTTTAGGCTCAATTTTCGTTTTTTTTTACATTCTTCCTGGATATAAGACATATTTACCATAGATTTACTAGTGCATTAAATTATCCGAATAAAAGTTGATATAGTTGCGAGTTCTGTCACAAAGAGGCCTTATTATCAATACGAATCAAAATCCAATTTGATTGCGCGATACAACTCATTTAGAATACATACGTAAAATGGAAATCCAATGGAAATTCAATATTATTTTTCCCTCTATGAAAAGTTTTAGATGCGCGCGGAGCATTTTATAAACGTGCTTATTTACTTTCATCAGCGAGCTTTTTCTTTCACTTGATCTACTTTGCGTTTGAAGGAGCGAGCATGTGCAACAGATCTGATACTTTTTTTCTGCATCTCGGTCTTTCTACGAAATCAAATTATTTTTTGGCTCCAGCGTGTATTCCACAGTGTGCATTTTCAAAAAATTTTAATATGTTTAATGAAACGGTAAAAAAAAGTTTAGTCACAGTGAGGATGCAAAAGTCCGCAGCAATCAGTTGACAGCACCCTTAACCGTCTTTTATTTGTTACATCACATTCGAGTTCATTGTAGTGTGCATATATTCAAGAGAGACTGGCGAATAAAGTGCATTATATACCAGCGGTATAAAAGGGCAACGACGCAAATCTAGGCCAAGTAAACTTCATTGTTTTTGCTTTGCATCCGCATAGGTATAAGATAGATGAACTACCGAATAACGTAACATTTGAGAAATTCCTCATGAGTCGTGTTAAAATCAATGCTATCATTCGGCAAAATTGAAATATCGCCGATTGCACGAGAGCTTGTTGCCTATTGAGGCCTGAACACCTGAACGGAAACGGAATTCAACTTTTTTGTCGGTATACGTTGGATAATTCATGCACAAAAGCACTATACTCTATTCCTGCTCCTGAGAATTTAAGTCTCGCCACGAGAGATTAATTGGCGAGCTTCAACCATATATTTTTTTAATTCATTCAAGGTCGAAAAAAAGTCAAGGTTGATATTTCCACGCTTCCATTTTTTATTCAGTGTCCTGCAGGTTTATCAAACTGAAAAAAGAACGAAAGAAGAAAGAACGGTTTTGTTTGAATCGCTCAACAAGCTACCAAAGCTACGTTGTTTATTCTATTCTTTTGTTCTTTTCATTCTTTCATTTACAAAAAAAATATGTCTTTAAGAATGTCGTAATGTAATCTCTTTTCAAATCTTTGTTTTTTCTAAACTATATTTAAACCACAGAAATTTGAGCCACAATTAAAATACTTCATGTTAGATGGAAGGAAGTAAACTAAATGAAATTATCAAAAATATTTTGACTGAAAACAATGAGACGCGTTCTTTTTTAAATTATAAACGTAGAGGACGAGTGAGAAATGTTCATCCTCTATTTTTGGCTCAAATTTATGTTTTTACTCGAAATAATAATCGCTCTCCAAATGAAAAAACCCGTAGGGCAAAAATGAATCTCGAAGAATAGAGGACACTTTGAAAACTGTCCTCATCGGAAATTTCGTCGTTGAAAAGTTCGCCCGAATGTCCATGCTAATCTATGCTCTTTTCTCAACAGGAAAATCCATCTGGCAGCTCGTACTGGAACAATTCGATGACCTCTTAGTTAAGATTCTTCTGTTAGCCGCTATTATTTCTTTTGTAAGTATCTGTCTGCTAAGACTGTAGATGCAAAAAATGATAAAATACGAAAATTGCGTTGTAACTCAATGGATTATTGCAGGTACTAGCCTTATTCGAAGAGCACGAAGATGCATTCACAGCGTTCGTCGAGCCATTCGTCATTCTTCTTATTCTCATCGCTAACGCGGTCGTTGGCGTGTGGCAAGAGCGCAACGCCGAGTCGGCCATCGAGGCTCTCAAAGAATACGAGCCTGAGATGGGCAAAGTGGTGCGCGGCGACAAATCCGGCGTCCAGCGCATCCGCGCCAAGGAGATCGTTCCCGGTGACGTAGTCGAGATCTCGGTCGGTGACAAAATCCCCGCCGACATCCGCATCACCAAGATCTTCTCGACGACCCTCAGGATCGATCAGTCCATCCTCACCGGCGAATCCGTTTCCGTCATCAAGCACACCGATCCCGTGCCCGACCCGCGCGCCGTCAACCAGGACAAAAAGAACATCCTCTTCTCCGGTACCAATGTCGCAGCTGGCAAGGCTCGTGGCGTCGTCATCGGCACCGGTCTCAACACTGCCATCGGTAAAATCCGCACGGAGATGTCCGAGACCGAAGAAATAAAGACCCCGCTCCAGCAGAAACTCGACGAGTTCGGTGAACAGCTGTCCAAGGTCATCTCCGTCATTTGCGTCGCCGTATGGGCCATCAACATCGGCCACTTCAACGACCCAGCTCACGGTGGCTCCTGGATCAAAGGTGCTATCTACTACTTCAAAATCGCCGTCGCTCTGGCCGTAGCTGCTATCCCCGAAGGTTTACCAGCTGTCATCACTACTTGTTTGGCTCTCGGTACGAGACGTATGGCTAAAAAGAATGCCATTGTCAGATCCCTGCCATCTGTCGAAACCCTCGGTTGCACGTCTGTCATCTGCTCCGATAAGACCGGTACCCTCACTACCAATCAGATGTCTGTCAGCCGCATGTTCGTCTTCGAAAAGATCGACGGCAACGACAGCAACTTCCACGAGTTCGAAATCACTGGATCCACCTACGAACCCAACGGTGAAGTGTTCCTCAAGGGCCAGAAAGTCCGTGGAGCCGATTACGAGACCCTTCACGAACTTGGAACTATCTGCATCATGTGCAACGACTCCGCCATCGACTTCAACGAATTCAAACAGGCCTTCGAAAAAGTCGGTGAAGCCACCGAAACCGCCCTCATCGTCCTCGCTGAAAAGATCAATCCTTACGGTGTCAACAAGACCGGCCTCGATCGCCGTGGAACTGCCATCGTCGTCCGCCAAGACATCGAAACCAAGTGGAAGAAGGAATTCACCCTGGAATTCTCTCGCGATCGTAAATCCATGTCCTCGTACTGCGTACCCCTCAAAGCTACCAAGCTCGGAACTGGACCAAAACTCTTCGTCAAGGGAGCACCCGAGGGCGTGCTTGAACGTTGTACGCACGCTCGTGTTGGCTCGCAGAAATTCCCTCTTACCTCTACTCTCAAGAACCGCATCCTCGATCTCACCCGTCAATACGGTACTGGCCGCGACACTCTTCGTTGCTTGGCCTTAGCCACCGCCGACCACCCAATGAAGCCCGAAGACATGGATCTCGGTGACTCTACCAAATTCTACACCTACGAGAAGGACCTCACCTTCGTCGGTGTCGTCGGTATGTTGGACCCACCTCGCAAAGAGGTCTTTGACTCCATCGTACGTTGCCGTGCCGCTGGTATCCGCGTCATTGTCATCACTGGTGATAACAAAGCTACAGCTGAAGCCATCTGCCGCAGGATCGGCGTCTTCGGCGAAGACGAAGATACCACCGGAAAATCTTACTCTGGTCGCGAGTTTGACGACCTCTCGCTGTCCGAGCAGAGGGCCGCTTGCGCCCGTGCCAGGCTCTTCTCTCGCGTCGAGCCCGCTCACAAATCAAAGATCGTCGAGTTCTTGCAGAGCATGAACGAGATCTCCGCCATGACTGGTGATGGTGTCAATGACGCCCCAGCCCTGAAGAAGGCTGAAATTGGTATTGCTATGGGATCTGGTACCGCTGTAGCTAAATCTGCCGCTGAGATGGTGTTGGCTGACGACAACTTCTCATCCATTGTTGCCGCCGTTGAAGAAGGCCGTGCCATTTACAATAACATGAAACAATTTATCCGTTATCTTATTTCCTCGAACATTGGTGAAGTCGTCAGGTAAGATCTGTTCGCTTAAATGAATCATGGCTTTTCATTTAATTTTTATTCCAAAATATTATTCTCGTATTTCAGTATTTTCTTGACTGCTGCTCTTGGTCTTCCCGAAGCTTTAATCCCCGTTCAACTCTTATGGGTCAACCTTGTAACAGACGGTCTTCCAGCTACTGCTCTTGGTTTCAACCCTCCTGACTTGGATATCATGCAAAAGGTAATTATACCAAATGCTTTATTGCTGATTACTTGAACTCTAGCAAGCTTGTAAAAAAGATCAAACCGTGACACAGTTACAAATTAACATGCTTTTTTCGATTATTTATAGCCTCCTCGTAAAGCCGATGAATCACTCATCTCAGGGTGGTTGTTCTTCCGTTATTTGGCTATCGGTGGATATGTCGGCGCTGCCACTGTTGGATCTGCCGCCTGGTGGTTCTTGTACAGTCCTTATGGACCACAAATGAACTACTACCAACTGGTAAGTATTTCATTTCAATTTTGATATTTTAATCAATAAATTCTTATGAACCATGTGCTCGACCGTAGACTCATCACTTGGCATGTATCGGTGGTGGCGAAGAATTCAAAGGTATTGACTGCAAAGTCTTCAGCGACCCCCATCCCATGACAATGGCTCTGTCTGTCCTTGTCACCATTGAAATGTTGAACGCTATGAACAGGTAATTTACCTTTTTTTTCATTTATAAATATTATATCGATTGAGTATGGATATATTATTGCACATTATTAACTCATATATTTTTTTAGCTTGTCTGAGAACCAGTCTCTCGTTAGCATGCCACCATGGTCGAATTTGTGGCTCATCGCCTCAATGGCTCTTTCTTTCACACTCCACTTTGTTATTCTTCACGTTGAAGTTCTTTCGGTGAGATTATCTACGTCATAACAACTGTGGATCATCAGATGGTTATGATTTTTGAAATTCTCTAATATTACAAATATTTTGACTTTTTTGTTACAGACTGTATTCCAAGTTACTCCTTTGACTGCAGAAGAATGGATAACCGTACTGAAGTTTTCGCTTCCTGTGGTACTTCTAGACGAAACCTTGAAGTTTGTCGCCAGAAAAATTGCAGATGGTGAGAATCCAATTTACACGATTCACTGGATTGTCCTTATGTGGGGAGTGTTCTTTGGACTTTTAGTTCTCGGCCCAATATAAATAACCCGCTGCAGGGTGTTTAATTAGCGTAAATGAAAGATGCCTTTCTTACGGAAGCCAAGCTCAACGCCTTGGACTTGCAGTTGCATTTAACTAAAAAAGAGCAAAAAATAATAAGCTTCTCCTCTAAGAGGAGATTTATGATATGAATTAACGAAAACAAGTGTGTCCACGTGAGATTTTAATTATTCTGACTGTTGCGCATGGTGTTGGTCGAGTGTTATTAGAAAAAAGTACCTTAATCTTCAGTTTTTGTAGTTATTTAGCTCGACCAAAAAACACCAATGCACCATACTTCAAAATAGGTACTCACTGTATCATACTAAATCAATTTCAGTGACGCTTATGATTGTTTTTCTTAAGGCTTGATTTTTCCGACATATTCTTAGAAGAACCTACGATCATATTGTTTCGTACAAGTGCCTTTAAATATTAACGTTCTTTCTGCGAGGCAATAATCTTGTTTTTCCAAAAAAAAATACCGCTAATATTTGACTCCTTATTAACGCTGGCTCTACTTTTTCAACTGCAAGCTTTATTCTTTTCTCTTTTTGATGCTCGTGCAAGCTTTTTAATAGCAACTTAACACTCGACTGCATATATACATTATATGCTTAGATAAAAAATTCAGAAAATTATTTACACTTTGTTAATTTAGATTTAAAATTTGAACGCTTACTCATTAACGGAAGTGCATATACAAAAATTTTTCAAATGTCTTATTAGTCTCACGTAAAAACACTTTTCGTTATTTTCTACCCTTCGTGTAAGCAGTCACGGTTTTCGGTGATAATTTAAAAACAAAACTAGCTAAATGTCTCTTTTTTTTGACTTAAAAACATCCTTACCAACTGGCCGCATAATAATATTAATTATACGTGTATGATTGTATACAAGTTTTGTGTTAAAACTCGTAGGGCTATATATATTTCAGTAATGTTTAGAACTCGTAATTCGCAAGAAGCACGGATCGTTGAGCACTTATTTGTATCATCCTATACGTGTTTAGGGAGGGCGATGAATAGAATTTTTTTAAAGTAATAATCAACTGTACATAAATAACGTAGAATCTAATGCTGTAAATTTAAGCTTAAAAAATAAATTTGTTATTCGCTCGTCGTGAAGAGATGGATTTCGGATTGATCTCGTCCCGCACTCGTCGGTGAAATGTATAAGACACAATAACGTAGTTGTATAAATATTTCAAAAAAAATTACAATAATGAAGTAAAAATATACACAGCAAAAAGACCGAAGTAACATCTGCTCACTTACATAATTACAACAGCTAAATCAAATTTAAATTTAATCATTTATTATATATAAATGGTTTGTTTATAATAGTAATCTTTCATGCTCGTGTATTTATTATGTACCTTTTATCTTATTGTTATTCACTTGATATTTATTATTAAAAATATACACTCCGAAAACCCACACAATTAATATAATTTTATCTCTTCTTTAATACAGCACCTTTTTTTTCTTAACCTTTTGGCTTTTATGCACTGTAATACTTGGCTCATTTTTCATTATTTATAAGCATAAATGTGTGCGTGTGAAGTCACAAGCAACAATATCGACCGAAAAAAACTGTTACGATGCAAATTACTGTGAAAAAGAAAATAGTTAAGTATGTGCTTGAATGGTGAAGTTTTTCTTATCTTGTACATTGTACAGAGCTATAACTCTTCAGTCACTTAAGCACTAGTTTACATTGACAATTTTAAGTTAAGAAATTTTCTTGAATCAATATTGAGGTGGTTTTACCATACTTAATTAAAAAGCATTATTATAGAATTCTTGAAGCTGTCAGTGTCAACTTTTTCAAATTTTGCAACATTTTTTATATGAATAAAAATCCTGTTTGTGTTCTTTATCATCTGCAGCCTCTTATTATAAGATGCAAGACTTTTTAACTAAATTGCAAGCGTATTGATGTACAATCATTTTATAATTGTCATTTAATATTAGTAAAACAAATTAACCGTATTATTACTGGATACTTAGCAATTGTATTTTTTGTGCAAACATTTATATATATATATATATATATATTTATATATATATAAATTATACATACATATACAGAAACAGCAAAATTAATGCTTTTAACGAGAGAAAGAATGAGAGTAAAAATAGTGAGATGTACCCTTTTTTATTAGTTTTTAATTCCATGTACTCAATTACAAACATGAGTTATACATTATAAGTTGATGTGAAACTGAAAAATTCACTAGAAAAAGCAAGTTCAAACTTAAAAGATTGTTTTTGGCGTGAAGCACACACTGATAAAATATATATAGTAAAAAATGGACGGACCAGGTTTACTAATGGTTGCAATGAATCTGCCACTCTTTAACTGTAAGTATTTGATACCACCTTATTGGTGTATGTGTGTGCGTCATTATAATACCTTAAGAATGTGAATTTACATTCTGTCATACCTTTCCATTTATGTCCAATTTTAACTGTTTATTGTAACGACGAATAATGAAACCTTTTGAATCAATTGAATTAAAAATATCAAAATGAAATACCACAAGGACTGGTTGTTTTCACCTTCATTTTAACAAGTTGGATGAGTGAATAACATTAGCGTAATACGTTTTTAGCTTTTAGGTATTAATATAAGTACGTGCAATCTACGAGTTATGTAAAACGAATTTTAAAGTATTCTATATAACTAAATGACATCTTTTGCTCCTGCCGTAGTATACTATGATATCGTTTTAAGGCGATATAGAAGAAGCCAGCCAAAATATCTAAATTTCAATCCAGTTTTTTGAAACTTCTACTGAATATTTTGCCAAAAGGCTCTATGGTAACCTTAAGAACATCAAAATAAAGGACGCCATAAAATAAAGCCTTTTGGCAAAATATTCAGTAGAAGTTTCAGCAAACTGAATTGAAATTTTGATATTTTGGCTGGATGCTATATCTCCTTAATTGAAATATATTTGACATTCGAGTAATAATGTGAGTTAGAAAGTGAGATCTAAAATTTTTACGGATTTATATTTGATGATTAGTAGGTAATCATCCATGTCAGAACGGAATTTAAAACTTTGAATAATAAAAATTCTTTTTCTTCAAGTGAAATTGTATAAGAATTTAGCGTAAAGAATTCATAGTTTACGTATTTTCCAATTAAAATTAGTAAAAGTTACAAGTCGATCACTTGTGATAAAATTATAAAAAATTCACGTAAACAGTTTTTAAATCCACCCATTGCCAGCTTATAATTGCATATCTAAGCATAATTATTAACCACATTTAAGTACAAATAATTACGGTGTTGTAAATGCATAATATACACACATTGATCAAATCTTTGTATTAATCAGTCAGTTTACTCACTGGACCCATGTAAGCATTTGCTATTGCTATTCGTTCGATGTTACTATGCGAATTTAAACTTTTTTAGACCAATATCAGTTACAAGGACTCATTTTCAAACTTATCAAAAAAAAAAAAAAATTATTAGTTAGAGATAAAATGACGTAAAAGATTTAAAAAAGTTGCCGCGTACATGTCTGAAACTGATATATCCGAGTTAACGTTAACAAGCGATAGTAGCATAGAAGCTAGTTAAAATATTCAATTGCAAACCAATAATTTCCTTGGGAACATATAAAAAGAAATATTCTTAGAAAAAATATACTTGTGACAACTCTTAATGGTTGACCATATTGAATTACTTTTATTTTTATTTTAACAGATCTGATTTTAGTTATAGGGAATAGATGATGGTTAAATCATTTTATTGCCTTCATTCTCTAACGTGTGTTTTCTTATCCTCGTGTGGACTCATACTATTGTTCGCATGATTCTGAAATATCTCAATTGTATAAATATCATAAGTAATCTTTCGTCGTTTAGACAACCATACTGTTATAAATTTTAAATATTCAACATAATAATAACAATGATTTTTCAGAAAAGATATGAGTCTTGAATTTTGATCATTTATCATTTTCTAAATCATTTATTTTTGGACAAAAATACTGGATAGAAAATATACATCATTCGTTTGGTAACCGGTCAAATGCACTATGCCATTAAAATCTAGCCTACCTTTGATTTTCCACGGCATTGAAATTCGGTATAATTTAGTTGAATCTAATTCAATCTAGTAGAAAACTGAAATGACCAGACCAACTACTATTCTTTCTCAATCATATGCATTGCGAATCAGAACCTAGAATGCATGTTAAATATGAGAATGACCAATGATGCCACTATTAGGACAATCCTGAAGGCTCATCGTGAAAAACTCCCTAATGTCTTTAATACTTGCTTGTTGAGTGGTTTTTACAATAATCCATTTTGATAGATCTTGCGCACATCACCCAATGAATCGATTTCTACGAGGTACGATCGTTATCAAAGTTAAGGTAAAGTATGAGTCTTTTGTCAATATAAATACTTTTTTATCAATATGTTTCGTATTTATTGTATAGAGACAAAAAGTTTTTCGATTACGTGTCAAAATGCTTCATTTGAATCAAATATCTAATGGCAAATGATGCAGCACATTTAAGCATACAGACAAAAGTCACGGTGATTTTGAAGATATACATTTATAAGTATATTAAACATTATCCGATGTTTGATTTTCAATCATCGATAAAATGATGACGGTTTGAAAGTTGTGATTTTTAAAATAATTCATAGGATAATTTATCTTTGTCAATCGTGTACAATAATATATAGCACGTATTTTATCATATTTCTATGATAATATTGTCCATTATTGTACATAAATATACTCTATGAACATAAGCTTACTAATGAATGTTTATCACGCAACAATATACATATAATCAGTGTTGAATCAACGACGATAAGTGAAAAAATGCGTAATTTTAATAGCCGCGCCAGATACCAGAAGATTTACAATATACATACACATCATATAAATCCAGCTACATACACAACGCGAATGCATATCAGTGAATGAATGATAACATGGCCATGAATAATAGCCAATAGATAGCTTTTTTAATCTTTCTTCGTACACTTGGCTTTTTGATTTTAATAGAATATTTTACTAAAGTGACAATTGAATTGTTGCTCACGCTTATCCTCGAACCGAGCAAAACGAAAGAGCTTCTGTAAATGCAACAGCTCTCTCAATAAGACGGAGAATAAAACGCTAACTGCCACGCGCCCGTCTTCAGCTCTGCATATATAAGACCATCCTACAGCTCATGCGGGACGCTGCTGCTTATTTTTTTCGTGATTCGCTCTGCTACCGCTGCCGAAGCTGCGTTTTGCAATACGCCTGGACTAAACTGCAGCGATGACCGACTGCACTGTGCAACAACGGCAACCGCAACCACAACAACGGCAGTAAAAAACCTGCTCGTGTATATAATCGAAACTCCGAGTTTCTTGGCTCGTTATTAAACGGACCCTTTTTTGGGTATTTCTCTCTGTTTTACAGTTGCACCACCGGTGAAACCAGTTCCCCAATAAATGGATGACTGAGTTAATCCATCCCCAACGAAGCACTTATGGAAACTTATTATATTATTACAATCATCGGTCATCTTCAATCTCATTTATTTATATATATATATTTATATATATTTGAACGACGCCGCTCTAGGTAAACCTGAGTAGGAAAATCAACGAATGAAAAAGAGAAGCAGAACTTGGTTTTCTGTTTGCTTCGTCGGGCGGACATCGATCATAGTGAACCAGCCGCGTCAAACATATATTTATGTATATATAAATTTCTAGAAATGAACAATTAAATACGTGATGCGAGTGTGAATGAAAGAAAAAAAGAGTCGAGAATAAATGAGTGCGAGAGCGAAAGAGTTATATATTTATATATATACTATATATACATATGTAATATCATTAAAATATTTATGTTAAATAAAATGTGACGTGCGAATTATTTTTCGAAAAACAAAGAAATTCAGAGAAATGAATTATATTTCGCGAGGCCAAAAAAGAGAGAAAATACGCGAGTCTCGCAAATTTGATTTTCCATTCGAATAATCTTTTATGTATATCGTGGATAATAAGCAGCAGCTCTGCTTTTCAACGAAGTTTTTTACATTTTAACACGTATAAGGTAACAACGCATTCGTTGGAAGAGCAGCGGCTGGACAGCCAAAAAATAAAAGGAGATCTTAACTGAACTTCAGCGTGCACGTATAGTAACTAAGCATATTCGGACCTGAGATTCGAACAATGGCGACGCAAATATGTGATTAATATTTATTAATTTAATTCATGTTAAAAAGTCGCAATTTTCTTCAAACCAATCGTGTGCGATGTATTTGATATGCGTTATTAAGTTTTCTTCAATTAGAATTACGCCAAAATTTATAAGACATCTCGTTACGAGTCTTGGGAGATTTACAGTCCTTCGATTGCAATAAAGAACGATCATAATACGAGACTCTATCTATATTAAATCGATACAATTCCT